GTCATCAGAACATACATCTAACAGTCATCAGAACATACATCTAACAGTCATCAGAACATACATCTAACAGTCATCAGAACATACATCTAACAGTCATCAGAACATCCATCTAACAGTCATCAGAACATACATCTTACAGTCATCAGAACATACATCTAACAATGTTCGATGTATGTTCTGATGAGTCATCAGAACATACATCTAACAGTCATCAGAACATACATCTAACAGTCATTAGAACATACATCTTACAGTCATCAGAACATCCATCTAACAGTCATCAGAACACACATCAAACAGTCATCAGAACATACATCTAACAGTCATCAGAACATACATCTAACAGTCAAGTTTGCGTTGGTAGTATTCCGTGATCATCCACCTCGTGTGCGTGTGTCTATATTCGCTGTGAGTACACATGACTTGTGCAAATGTGCGTTGTGCGATGTGCGAGTGAGTTTACAGTCTGCTAAATACACCGAGGTAGAAGGAATCGCAGGAGAGGTAGGAGGGACTGTCAGATGTGTGTTCTGGTGACTGTTTGATGTATGTTCTGATGACTGTTAGATGTGTGTTCTGATGACTGTTTGATGTATGTTCTGATGACTGTTTGATGTATGTTCTAATGACTGTTAGATGTATGTTCTGATGACTGTTCGATGTATGTTCTGATGACTGTTTGATGTATGTTCTGATGACTGTTAGATGTATGTTCTGACTTATCGTCTCGTGCACTGTTCGTCTGCTGAGAGAGATTGTCGGAGCGCTCTCGGTGCAGACGATCTATGTCAGTGATGAAGACTATAACTGCTGATAATAACGGCAGGAGTTTGCACTGACAAGATTTTTGCTGACGGTAAATAATGCTTACATGGGCTGCAGTAAGAAAAAACTCGATACTACAACGTTCGCGTCGATAATAACAAATCTATCGCGTGTGAAAATAAAGCGTCGCGTCACTTATTTACGCTCAAGAGGTCGTTGTCGTATCAGGTACTACAGATATGTACCCGAGGTACATATATGTATACACAAAGTGTACCAGACTTGTACTACAGAAGTGTACCCTAACCCTAAGCCTTATTTACATTCCTCTAATTCGATAACGCACAACCTATATATATATGATTGATTGATTGATGGATCAGAGCCTAGAAAGCCTATCACGCGTTTGGATACGTGTTTATACACGAACTTCTCACAACCTGCGTATTTGACTGCAAACCAACTATTGCTATTAGTATTACTAAAGATAGACAAATACCTATACCGGTGCTTATCTTATCTAGCTATCTTTCTTCCGAGACAACCCTATTTATTTATCCTCTGCAAGCTCAAATGGCTTTGCGGAGTAAACACATACACAGGCGGACGGACCCAGTGGACGCTGAACCACACAGATACGGCAAGTCCAAGAGGACAAGCGACCGAGTCTGTAACCATGGTGACGAACATGATTGCCACTATGCACTGATAAACGAGCGGGAGACCTGACTACGAACTCACTCTACATAATTATGTCCTTAAGGTTAAAACATGCGCTCTACATCCAAAAATACTTTTGCGTAAGATAGGCAACTATATATACAAATATATATATATATATATAGAGTCATTTATTTATATACGGCCTAGTTCCCAGATATAGTCACACGCGCACACACGCACGCACGCACGCACGCACGCACGCACGCACGCACGCACACACACGCACACACGCACGCACGCACACACAAACACAATCACGCGCACACACACACACGCACGCGCGCATACATACG